TTGTAAACGCTATTCTATTACCCTTTTTGTTGGGTGAATTTCTACATCAAGTTCTGGATTCTCGTTCTATATATTTCGGTTCAATTTATCTTTTTTTTTGGGTGTCACAAAAATAAAACCAACTTTCACCTGATTCCTATTTTGGGGTACTAACTTTCAAAATCATCATTTTGGGGAACCAACTTTCACCTGATTTCTATTTTAGGGAACCAACTTGCAAAATAATTATACAAAAATAACTAAAATTCTTTTTTTTTTAAATTAATGCAATAAAATATATTTTTCATTTCAAATCTCATTTTTTTTTTTAATTCAGATGTCAAATTGAAGATTTTTTTTAAAAAAAAATCCAAATTACCACAACAAAAATTGTTTTTTACTAATGCAAAAAAAATCAATTTAATAGAAAAAAATTAATTGATGCAATAAAAAATAAATATTAAATATCACATTCATGATTAAAAAATCATCAGTAATTTGTGATATTTAATATTTATTTTTTATTACATCAATTAATTTTTTTCTATTAAATTGATTTTTTTGCATTAGTAAAAAACAATTTTTGTTGTGGTAATCCGGATTTTTTTTTTAAATTTCAATTTGATATCTAAATTCTAAAAAAACGAGATTTGAAATGAAAATAAATTTAATTGCATTAATTCTTGAAAAAAAAACGAATTTTAGTTATTTTTGTATAATTATTTTGCAAATTGGTTCTTCAAAATATGAATCGGTACAAGTTGGTTTCCTAAAATGACGATTTTGAAAGTTGATTCCCTAAAATAAGAATCAGGTGAAAATTGATTTCATTTTGATACAATTTTCCCTAAATTATTACAATACCCTTCATTGGGTAAAGTAATTTTAAATATAAAATATTATAATAAAATAATTTTCAGAAATTGTGCATCGAGTACAAATAAATTCATTTAAATCTCATGCAGTAAATTTACATTAAATATAATAAATATTACAATTACATAAATATAAATAATATCATAATAAAATTTGTTGTGTTTTATAAAGTTTTTGATTAACACAGTCGACAACGATTGTTTCAAATAAAAGACTATAAGAGGTTGTTTGTTTACTTCTTAATAGTTTTATTAAGAAACATTATATAAATCGTTAAGAGGTAAGTCTTGTGTGACAACAAAAATTTGTCTATTAATGATTCTAAAACCTTCTGAATGGTTTTGTATCTTGTGCCCCTTTTAACCATTCAGAGTCCTGATTTCATTTTGAAAAATTACCAAACAATTATATTTAATTTTTGCACTATATTATAAGAGCATCTTAATCGTTTTGATCACTTAATCATTCTACACCAAGTCATTATACAACTGTCAAACAACCCGTAACAATCATTTTCTAATAAGTCACCACTTAATATAAAATAATATGTAAACAACATTTTTAATCGACCACTTATTTAAGTATGACCTTTTGTCCCAATCGGACTTCTTATTTTAGTCGGCGTGTGCTCAAAATATCTGATAAACTATCTTTTAACAGAAAAAATTTAACGGAGCTAGGAATATGGATCAAATATGTTATAAAATGCAAACCATAGGGATGTAATCCATAGATATCTCAAAATAAGGACCTAGATTGTTAACACATATACCACAGGGACCAAGATTGTAATTTACTCAAAAAATATAATCATACGTTATCCAGGGACTTGTGAAGTATTATGTTGGAAAGTAGGGGTATTCGCAGTCTGATTTGGATGGTTTAACCCCTCAAACAATAAATTAAACCGTAATGGCTGTTTATAAAATTTTCAAACCGAATGGTTTGACATCAAGTGCCCAGACCGGTCAAACTAGACTACGAAAAGGCGGTTTGGTCTGACCGCTTTAGGTCTTTAATAGACTTTAAATATTAAACTTAAAAAATATATAAGTTATAATTTTAGATTTTTTTGAACGGCTTCGCCTCAGCGGTAGAGGCACAAGGTTTGATCACGATTGACATTATCGGGACCCCGGATCGAATCCACTCCACTACACCCCCCCTAATTAATTTGGTAGGGTTGCTTTCGCCTAATCCCCATGGAAGAAACCCTCAGGTGAGCCTCGAACTCGAGACCTCACCTTCATCAGGAAAACTCCCTACCACCCAGGTAGAGGTGGCCAAAAATCGGTCCCGGGCCGGGCCATAACTGGTTACGGCCGGTCCCGATCAAGACAAAAACGTTCCATAATCGGTCCCGGTTCCGGTGAAATCCTCCATAACCGGTCAAGCTTACCGGTAACCGGTTAAGCCGTCCGGTCCCGGTTCCGGTTACGGCCGGTCCTTTGCAAAAAAAAATATTTTTTTTCAAATTTTTGGTAATTAATAAATTTATATATATATATATATATATATATATATATATAACAAAACATATTTTTAAACGTATTTATAAAATTAAACGTATTTATTGTTATTTTTAATATGTTTTATATAAATACGTTTAAAAATATGTTTTGTTATATATGTATACGTTTAATTTTATAAATACGTTTAAAAATATGTTTTGTTATATATATATATATATATATATATATATATATACACACGTTGACTTTTGTTGACCGGGCAGGGCCGAGCCGGTCCTATAACCGGTTACATAACCGGTTTCGGTCTTAACCGGTCTCGGTCCTAAAAAACGTTAAAATCCATAACCGGTTCATAACCGGCGGTCCACAACCGGTCCATACCGGTCCCAGGCCGGTTCCGGTCCTCCGACGGTTACGGGACGGGCCGGGCCGGGCCCATTTGGCCAACTCTACACCCAGGCAACACCCGGATGGCAGTTAAAATGGATATTTAATTTTAGATTAAATATCCATTTTAACAAAATAAAATATCCAAACAAATAAATGTAATAATTAAGCAGCTCATGAGTCCAAAAACCAAACAATCCAAAGTCCAAACAAATAAATATATAATATATATTATAAAATAAACAAATTAACAAAGTTACAACTCTATTGTGAGTATTAAGTAACAAAATCTACGACTTCACAACCTTGAATTCTTGAGTCTTGAGTTCTTGACCAAACTAAATAGAAGTCAAATCTTAGTGTTTAACAAAAGTCAAAACAGTAATATGTAAAGTACAAACAAAGTTCACAGCTTCACAATACATAAAAATTCAATCTTTTATCAAACAGGAATGAGAAATCTGTAAAAAAAAAGGTGACGTCATATAAATTAGAAGGATAGAAGATTGTATGAAATGTGTGAAAGGGGTAGAGAAATAATCAAAGCTTACGTTATAGCGATCCAAACATAAAGTTACAACTTACAATATGCTCAATATAGAAATTTTCTTAAAGTAAAAAAAAGGAGCTCATAAAACATGACTTACAAATCTGGAGGAGACTTGAGGATTTGCACCGATGACTGTTCACTTAAACAGATTGAGCTTGGAATCGAAAAAGTTGAAGAAAATAGTTGAATCACTTGGTTGATGTCCTGATGATGTGCGCCGAAATCAAACCATGAATTATAAAAGATCAATAGATTGATAGAGTTCTTAAGGGATTTCAAAATTTGGAGAAAGTCAATGTCAAATATGTCGATATGTTTACTGGTTTAGAGATTTTTAGGCGCCAATTCATTTTGGATTTGATTTAGGGACGGACCCAAAAAAAAAAAATTCAAACGGTGGCACCATATAATTAATGTAATATAATATAGATCCAAAAAATGGTTTTTATAGGAACGATAAACAACTCATAAATTTGTACTCAACGCGTCTTCATCTTTTGAAAATGGTCAATACATACCTAAAAATAATTACTGAACATATGGTTTTTATAGAATTGAAAAAACAACTCCTAAATTTGTCCTTGGCATGTCTTCATCTTTTGGAAACGATCGATGAAATCTTCATTTTTAACATTATTATGTGCTTCCTTTTCTATAGCACAAGTGAAGACAAAATTCAAAAAGTCATCACCAATTCGATTATGTAAATGGCTAAATCTGAAAAGTGAAAACAGAGACCAAAGTCACCAAATAGCCATGTAGCAAGTGAGAATCATTCGAGAATCATCCGATTTTCGAGAATCGTTCGAGAATCGCCACTTGAGAGTTGAGAATCGTTCGAGTCTTCGAGCCGATTTCCGATTTTTGTCACTCACTCACTGTTGTCTGGTCTGAACTTGCTTGCCAACTTGGACCTGCACCTGTTTGTTCTCGTAATCTCGTTGGCTGACTGCTAAGTTTTAATTGGGCTTTGCATATTAGGCTTTCGATTTGGCCATTTGGGCTTTGTTTTATTTGGGTTTCAGTTGCATGATTTGAGATTCAGGAAAATACGGTAGTACCTTCTAAAACGATATGGTTGCACCGTTCACAAATCTAAATTTTTTACCTTTGACGGAGAAATAATATGGTGGCACGTGCCACCTAAACCACCTAGCTGGGTTCGTCCATGATTTGATTATGTTAGATGTTAGGCTTTATCCTTTATGTTTGGCTTAGGGATATATTTGGATCAGAACCTATAAGTTAAAAAAATTGGACTTGCTAATACTAATATATGTATGCATGTATGTATGTATGTATGTATGTATGTATGTATGTATGTATGTATGTATGTATGTATGTATGTGGCTGTCGGTTTGGTTAAAACTGCCAAAAAAAGGTTCCAGACTGTAGACCATATCGAATCGTCCGATTTTGTTTTTTTTCAAACTAGACCAAACCGTCAGACCGTTCAAACCGCCAAAAAACAGTCTGGTTTGACTTGGTTTGAACGGTCCAACGGTTTTTTTGAACACCTATGTCTGTTGCAAAGTGTTATGGATATAATCGTAAATATGAATACTCGTATGGGTCAATGTATAAAAATAGAAAAAGAATTAGAAAAAAGTAGGAAAAAGAAAAGAAAGAGGAGTTCTTCGCAAATATGTAAAATTTATTCCACGTATCGTCTTAAGCCTCTTTCAATCTCATAGCACATAAAACGCAAACCAAGAAAACGACGACTGCTACTGCTACCGAAAACCTCCCACAAGACACCGGAAACCGCCGTTCTCCACCGCTAATTACTCAGACCTTATCTGCCCGATACCAGTTCATCCTGTAAGATTTGAGCTAACGTTGTTTTTTGAGTATTCATCGATGTATGACTGGCTGTTTCACATGTAAATTACCCCATCTGAAGTTGTGTATATACCATCGCAAGTTTGTGTATACAGGTGTGTAATTTTTTGTTTATGATTGGTGAGGATTGCAGATCAGAAGAAATTCCTAAGTAGAATTTGCAAATTTTTAAATTGTTTTGGATCCGGGGATTGGGGAAACTTCACTTTGCCCTCTTTTAAGAAATGAAAATATTACTTGCTCATTGTGCAAATTTTCTTGTGCTATTTTTAGATTATGTAAGTAATATCATGACAGCTTAGCAGCTAGGAATTTAAGGGGTTTTATTTGAGTTCAATTTTCAAGGATCGTGCACATACAGATGCACATATACCCATCTGTTAGGTCTCTTCCACATCAAATAATATAATGTTAATCATTGTAATATATCTTCAAAAAGTATCCAATTTAGTACTCAGATGGAATTCTACGGCTGGACTGTCAATTTGAGGCGTAAGATAATGTTTATTTGTGAAATGAGGTTGAGATTGGTAAGTTGTTTAGTAAAGGTGGCTTCTCAGTTTCATCTCTAGATTTTGCTGTATTTTTTTTCCCTTTGTAGCTCAATTACAAATATTTGGCAAATTAAGGAGTGATTGCCTGACAGAAACTCTGTCTAGAAACCTATACATGCAGGGTGGTGCGGCAGTTGCATCTGATTTTCAATGAATTGTGATATCACAACTGTTATTGTTCTGTACAACTTTTGGTTCATTGTTTTTCCGTGCTTCTCTTATGGTTCAAGGCTCAGGAACAAGTGGACCTACACACAAGGGTGGGTATGCCAGTGCATAACCTATTCATTTTTTGTAGTGTGAAAAATAAATTGCAACCATAGTGCATACGCAAAATTCTTTTGTAATGGTAGTGCACAGCATACGTAGGTTAGAGGACCTGGGTCCGCCGCTGCTAATGAAGGGTATGAAACCTAACTACGGGGATGTTCGGTTGGTTTTTCATTAAGGCCTGTATGGGCTAAGATGTCTGTGTGGATTTAGTTGTTTGTATGATTTAGGCTAAATTGTTATTCGGTTGTGGTGCTGAATAACCGGTCTGAATGACGAAAATGACTATTTTACCCCTTAGGTCATATTAAACACCGTTTAAATAACTGTTTGATAAATATGTTGAACAATTGATTTTGCATAAAACTACAGTTTCATATCTTCTTGATATGAACAACAAAAGAAATTCATATAAACAATGTAGAATATCAAGAAATTTGCATAGAAGTACAATTTCGGTCCAAAAGATTTGTGATACAAACAAGAAATTTAACCTTCAATCAAAAACTAAAATCAAACCCTAACCTCAAAAAGTTTTTCATCTTAGCAATAAAAACCCAGGTATGGATATTTGGGAACACCTGCACTAACAACTAAGGTTTCGGAACACATGAAATCTTTCATCTTCATCCCAGATGCTAACAATTTACAACCCAGGGGCAGCAGGTATGACACCACCACCCACACTACCACCTCATTCTGTTATTCTTCTCATTAGAACTTAGCTGAGACCCTAAATAAAGAAAACCTTGACCCTCATGATTCAGCTTTTATTGGTTTGATTTTTCTCTAGACTTTGACAACCTTTGTTCAGATCTGCTCCTCTCATGTGGATAAGGGAGGAGAGTGTGTGATAGAAAATGGATACCAGACAAAACATGAAAATGGAGGGCCAATATGGATGGTTTCATGGTGCTTCCATCTGGAGAAGGAGAAGGCTGCAGTGGTGCTGCCATCATGGTGGTTTCCATGGGAGAAAGTAGATCAATCTTTGTTGAATGGGGATGAAGATGAAAGAGGGTGATGGGTAAAAGGGGAATAAAAAGGTGAATAAACGGTTGAGGACTCTATTTTTTTGGCTGACCGAATAAGTCATCGGCTGAGCGAACAAGCCACAACTGAACAGCTATTTATGGCTGAGCGAATAAGCCATATAGGCTATACAGCCCATGAAGGCACAACCGACCATCCCCTATGTGTTCAAGGAAATCTTTTTGACAACTTGATTTGAAAACATTTGTCGTCACAGCCTCAATTTTTTTTCTTCGTAAACTAGTGTATTGAACTGAACTTTTTCTGCATTAATGGCCCAAATTTAACAATTAATGTGGCTGAATTCAAGTTAGAGACATTTTAAGCATGTTCTTTTTGTTATACTTGTAGTTTTTACCATAGCCAAAGATCGTTTATATTGTCTCACTCAGTCACTGATTTGTGGTCCATTTGTAATTTGATCATTTACTTAAAATCATGTTTAATACTTTTGTTGATATCTATAACAGCTTAGTGGGAATTTCCTACTTCTTACTCTTTCTGGTTGTTTTCATAGGGTGCGATTGCAGAAAGCTACAGTGGCACATTACATCTGTAGTTGGTTGCTTCTGTTTTTCGTTGTGTTAAAGAGATCTGAGACGCAAAATGGATTTGGAAACTGGTAAGGCATCATCCCCTGTTAAAGACTCAGATGTACAAGCCCGTGCTGCAGTGGATACTGGACATGATCCTGCGCAAGATTCACCATCCAGGCTGTCTGCTTCTGGCATAACCACATGGGCTAAAAGCCTGAAGCTTCCGCAACCTCTGGGAGGCACACAGGATGAATCTTCATCTGAAAATACTGGGAAGTCATCGTTTGCTCGTTTGACTAGTGGACTTGGGTTGCGGTTGTCTCCAAAAGCTCCTCAACAAGATGATAGCCCTGATGGAACTCCAACAACGCCACAAGCTGGCATTTTTGGGACAATTACTAAAGGTTTTGTAGACACGTCTAAAAATGCGGTGAAGGCTGTCCAGGTCAAGGCTCGTCATGTTGTATCACAAAACAAAAGAAGATATCAGGTATCTTGTTGATTTGATCTTTTCTGTGATTCATCTTGCTATATAGGCTTGTGACAATTACTATGTCACCATTCACAAATCTTGAATCAGTGTATTTTTCGTCCCTTCATTTTTTCTTGTTATTTCTGGAAAACATAGGTGTTAAATTACTTCAACTCTCCTTATGTTTCTTTTCAGTTTATGGATATCCCGTGATTACTAATACAAGATAAGGAGTCTATCTCCACAATTCGTGTATATGATTGACCTAAAGAGAGTTCCTCCAATGTGTAAACAGAGGAGGTGACTGTTTCGCATGTCACTTATTTTGGCTGTTCTCTAGTTTTATTATTTTGTATCATCTAAGACAATATTGATGGGAATCTCCTTAGCTGCATGTGCAGTTTTATTGCATATGAACAATCATGATTTTGTGTCGAATCAAAGACGATGGGATAAGCTCTTAAAAAAAAGGGATTTTAAGATCTATCAAGTTGTTTAGGGTGCTGTGAAAATTTCTATTGGAGGGGTGTTTTCTTGTTTCGTCCAGTTTTAATAGCCTTGATTACTTTTAGATAATAGCAGATAGAAAGCAGTTGGGGTTTTTGAATTATAAGAATATTATACAGACTTCTATACACTACTAGGAGCAGCACTCTAATGGGATGGACAACATGTCCCATGAACCACAAATCCACAATGAAGCCGTTGTACGGTAACTGTCAGCATGAACTTGAAAGAAGTTTGAAGCACGGAATTGGTATAAATCTTGAAGTATAATTCAAAAATGACAGATATGAATGCAAGGAGAACCCCTCACGTAGAACTTCCTTTCTATCAATGTTTTCTTCAACCTTTTTCATGCTATGTAACACCACTTTACCACTTACATTTGGAGGTTTGGACCTCAACCACAATGAAATTCTTGAGGAGTCCTATATGCCAATTGTGCTGTGGTCGATCCGTATCTCTCAGCATAAATGTATCAAATTCCTAGTACATTATACTACTTTCTACATCTTGAGTCATTCCATATATGAATTTGTCTCTTAAATGCAACTTAAATGAATTTAATGATAATTTTGTATGTTAGTTAATTTAAATTTTATGAAATGATCTCTCAAATGAGTATTTTATTCAGTACATGACCTATTGTTACATTATCCTGGTTCCAGGAAGGGGGATTTGATTTAGATATGACATACATCACTGAGAATATCATTGCTATGGGATTCCCTGCTGGTGATATGAGCTCCGGTTTCTTCGGATATGTCGAGGTCAGAATTTTGCTTCTATCATTAACTTAATTAGACATCAGTATTATTGTTGATGAAAACAGTTTGGTTGATACTCTTTGGAAATTTGCTGTAGGGATTTTATCGAAACCACATGGAGGAAGTTATAAGGTTCTTTGAAACCTATCACAAGGTAAGAACGCGTGCTTGTGTGTGTTTTTGCTTTTAATCTCTAAATCATGTTATGTTTCATATTTGTCAGATTCATAGCGACTTATATGTATTAATTTCACATTGATCTGATGATATTAGAAAGAAGAAAGATGTTTGTTATGGTTTTTGAAAGAAGTTGTTAAAGTTATCATATAATATGGATGCATTTTCAAGAGTTAATTACTTGACATGGGAACACTTTCAAATCTATTTCTCTTTCAATTATATCCATACCTTTAAGAACTGGAGACAGTATGTGACCTAGGTATCTTATATGAAAAGTTAGATTGTGTAACTGAAATGCCACTGCCATGTTGCTTCTTTCACTGAAATCTGTTTGCTGTAAGACATTCTAATGGAGGTTAAGGTTATCTTTTCTTGTTATCTATGATAAAGATGCAGAACAATTAGGTGCTTCTGGTATCTATATTTGGTATGGCTTGAAGTCTTGAACCAGTTTTGATTTTTGATAATTTCGAATGCTGCGGGGGGAGTCAATTTCCCACATTTTCCTGAGCTTTGCTCTTTCAGTTTGCAATGTTTCTGTAATAGTCATTGCTGTCCAAATTCTCCTTCCATTGTCTCCATTGCTTGGAATGTTCCGTTTCACTATTGTTATTTTGTCAATATCAGGATAAGTACAAGGTATACAACCTGTGCTCTGAGAGGCTATATGACGCATCACTGTTTGAAGGGAAGGTATGTCAATAACTCGCCCTACTTTCATTTCTTATGTTTTTGTTAGTTGTTAGGGAAAATCATGCTATTTTATGAGCAGAATTTTGTTTGAGTGAGATAAAACATTATGTGCCACTACTTGGATTTGTAGGTGCTTAACCTTCGAACTAGAATTGTGTGGGCAGCAATTGATTTCACCATCTAATTGAAGTACATCACAAATTAAGAATTTAGTTTTGGTGGTTCAAGTAAAGGATATCAGACGTTTATAATGCCGTTGTCCATCATCTAAGTTTTTTTTCCGTTCAAGTGGTAATGTGCTAGCATAACGCTCAATGCAGTTAACTTAATCTTCCCTGAACATGTGTAAAACAATTAATTTCGACTTTGAGCATGCAGCTTATTTCTGTTTAGTAATTAGCTAGGTTGATCTTTGTGTGGCTAAACATTTCTTTTCTAGTGCTGTCTCAGACTTCTGTTTACCCTATGCAGGTTGCTAGTTTCCCATTTGACGACCATAATTGTCCTCCCATTCGGCTCATAATATCATTTTGCCAGAGTGCATACTCATGGCTGAAGGAAGACATTGAAAATGTTGTGGTTGTGCACTGTAAGGCTGGAATGGCAAGGACAGGCTTAATGATTTCAAGTCTTCTTTTATATCTGAAGGTAACATCAAGTGTTTGATTTACTAAAGCAGAACCAGGTTACAAACTGTATATTGATGTTTCATTTCTGCTCTTCGCTTCTTTGCTCTTTTAGGCCTAGTTATAAAATTCAGTGCTACTTCTCCCTGCAGTTTTTCCCCACAGCTGAGGAGTCTATATCATACTACAACCAAAAAAGATGTGTTGATGGAAAGGGGCTTGTTCTCCCAAGTCAAATAGTAAGTTTCATTGTTTAGAGATTCTGTCCATAGTACAACGGATTAGCAATCCGCCGTTTTCGTCCACTCAGCCATCTCTCCCAATCTCATTGCTTTAGTTGAAAGATTCCGTTCCCATCAATCGAATCACTTTTTCGAGAAATATGATAGGCTGCGTTTGGTACACGGGACAGGACGGGACAAAACTCATTGTCCCATGTTTGGCGCAACATGGGACAGGACAAGAACTTACTCCCACGTTTGGCGCGACATGGGCCAGCGACAAGAACTGGGACAAGGTGGGACTAAAAAGGCTTTTTCTTGTTTCACCAAAATAAGTGGAACAAGATGGGACAAGAATGAGAGAGAAACTAAATATTACTAATTTGCTCTCGTTTGATATATATAACCTTAATATGGTATTTGTTTTAATGGTCACCACCGCTAGTCGCGGCCGTTGCCACCACCGCCGGCCAGCTCCACCTCTTCCACTACAACAACCTTCCCCACCACCTCCACAACCACCGTTGACCACCGACCACCACTATCCATCGCCACCTCCACAACCACCGTCGTCCATCGACCACCACCGTCCATGGTCACCTCCACAACCATGGTCGGTCACATCCACAACCATGGTCGGCCACCGACCACCATCGTCCATCGTCACCAACACTACCACCGTTCGCCACCTCCACCTCCACCTCCACCTCCTCTACAACAATCACCTCCACACCCACTGCCCAGCACCACCATCGGCTACCACTACCACTTTCCGACCACTGCCTCCATTACATCGGCCACAACTACCTCCTCCACCATTGTCGACTGCCACCACCACTATCCACCACCTTCACGTCCTCCACAACTACCTCCTCCATCATTGTTGTTACAACAATCTTTACCGTGTCTTCGTCAATTGATAAGGATTTTTCAAACCGAATAAAACATAATTTCTCCTTTATATGAATTGGGTTTTTTCCAATTATATCAATTTTTTCATACAAACACTATTACATATGTATATGAAAATTGTGTAAAAATGTTTATAAATTATATTATTTAACTATTTACTTTATTTGTGTTAATTATAACTATTATATGATATATAGAATCATCAAATAACTTTTGGGGGCAACTTGTCTAGTTCTGTCTTGTCCGGTCCTAGTCGTACCAAACACCAAATAGACACTTGTCCAGTCCTGTCCAGTCCAATCATGTGTGCATACCAAACGCTACCTTAATGGGCAGCGGCTCATTTCAAGTTATTAGCATATATCTGATATGTTCCGTTTCTCCTCTTATGGCACATTATAGAGATATGTCAAATATTTTGAAAGAGTTATGACATACTTCAATGGAGAAGATCAGCCTGGGCGCAGGTACGCTTATAATGCTAATCATAGATCTCTTTTATTTTGTATATGCATATGGTATTACTGAATTCATCTTGCATTGTTTTTGTTATCATCAATGTATTAGGGCTGATTGCCTCTGAGTTTAATATTGCAGGTGTATGCTTAGAGGATTTCGCCTTCATAGGTGCCCATATTGGATCAGGCCCTCTATTACCGTCTCTGATCATAATGGTACACGTCTATACATGTTCTTTGTTTTATACAGTTTTCTGAAGTTCCTTCCATTTCTTCTTTATCTTCTGGTATCTAGCATTTCACCTGTAAACTATTGATACATGTATCGTTATTCATATTTTGTACAAGTTCGTTCTTTTTAAGCAATTGCAACTTATTATAATATGTTATGCATGCATTCTTGGCTGTCTTCTATTAACGAGGCCGCTCTTCCCTTATGATGTTCAAACTGAACAATTATGGAAATGAAGGTTGTTTTGTCACATTTTCTGAAGTACCCGTGATTTCTTGCCTCTCCACATCTCTGGTACACTGCCTTTTGGATATGAGCATCTTCTTTAACCACATATTTTTTAAATTAATGGGTCCTGTTTTTGAGGAAGTTGAGGCTCATATTGTTATTCAATGGAATTATTTTTTATGTAGTGATTGTGGCTTTTACATATTTAGATCTCCCTAACTTGGGAGGGGAAAAAAGATATAAAAAGAATTAAAGAGTAGGTCTATGACATAGTGTCGATACTTGATGATGGCTATGTGCGTTTTACTGTATGACTAGGCGTGAGATCGTAATTTTTAACTTGTGTAGTTCTTTATATGTGTGAGATATGGTAGCTAGATACCACTCATGTAGTTACGTGATTTCTATTGTCCATCTTTTTTGTTCTGCAGGTGTTCTCTTTTCAACCAAGAAGCATCCCAGAACCAAGGATCTATCGGTACGTCTTTTTCGCAAAAAGTCTTTGTAGCAACTAGCCAACCAGTAATGATGGATAAGTTTTGAATAAAGCATGTTTCTAGACAATTGAGAATATGTTTTAAAGTATTACGCTATATCATCATCTGTTTGATCATCCTAGAAGGCAGAAACTAGTCTTCTAGACTAATTTATCCCCATTGAAGATCATAGAATTCAAGTTCTTAACAATGACAAAATATTCACTGATGACCAGAGTTATTATTGATTATGCAGCCTGAAGATTTTTGGTTTTCTGCACCAAGAAAGGGTATAATGGTCTTTGCTCTGCCTGGGGAGCCTGGCCTGACCGAGTTATCTGGAGATTTCAAAATCCATTTTCATGACCGGCAAGGCGATTTCTACTGGTACAATTTCAATTCTCGACTTGACAGCAAAGTAATCCATGCTCAAAAAAGACAAATACAGCCCTACCTTCTCCCGTTCTACATAACACACTTAGAATAGAAATAGATCATAAAGTAATGAAACAATTCTCAATTCTTTTATTTTCTCTTACTTTTATGGTATCTTCTTCATCTGTTTTCTTTCATTCTTATAATTGAAGCTGGCTGAACACAACAATGATCGAGAATAGGAAGGTTCTAACCACAAATGATCTTGATGGGTTTGACAAGGTAACTCTTGATCTATAACGTAATGCGTCTACAATGTGTCCCATCCCATTAAATGTCCCGTGAAAATTATAATTGAAGTTGCAATTTATTCATTGTGGTCATTGTAACTAGTTGATATGGATATTGATCCAATAGATTCCCTTTAGACATCCCTGAGTTATGTCCCCAATTACCAAAGCAAACCAAATGAACACATTATATCCTACCTAGAGATGGGGTCTGGGGGTAAGATGTACATAGAGCTGACCTCTATCCCTCAGCGTAAAGCAGCTATTTCCGTGAAGACCACCAGAGTTATCTGCCCAATTATATGCTCTAGTTTTTGTAGATAGAGAGTGTGTTACACATCAAGGCTATGCTTGGCAAACTAGCTGATAAACCGATGTTTGGCAAACTAGCTGCTAAATAGTCATGATTGGTAAAAACTAGCTGATAAACTAGAAGACAATTTAAAATGACCTAAAAGGACATGTTGAAAAATTAATTGGAAAAATATTAGGGGCATAATCGGAAATAAAGTGGAAAAAGCCCCTGCCTAATTAAAATGCTACTTTCAAAAAGCTAGCTTATCAGCTAGTTTATGACTAACCAGACAAGGCTTTTTCAAATAAGTACAAAAAGTAAGCTAGCTTATGGTTGCCAAATATGGCCCAAGTAGTAGGCATTTCAACTTGAAGTTGCGACCTTTTTTCTTGTATATTTGGTACTTCAGCTGAACTGTGTCGAATTATCTGCAGAGGAAATTGCCTTCCCCTGGGTTTCAAGTGGAGGTTGTGGTTGTGGACTATGACAATGCTGCTCAAGCAAAACCCGAAACTGAAAGTACTGCCAAACCAGCTGAAGGTACAAGCGCAAATCCTCCGCCAACCACCCCCTCTGAAGCCACCTCCACAAACTTACCAAAAGACTCCAGAAATAGCGAAAAAGACGACGAGGTGTTCTCCGACACCGAATCCGAAGCAAAAACCGACACTGCTTCTGAAACCAATTCTGTCTCTGGGAAAATGGTAAGCTTGTCAAATGACACCAAGAATCTGTCTATAGGAAACTCAGGCGCATCACAGACAACTCCCGCCAGTGCGCCCAAAGCCGATGAAGCTGCATCCCGAAACCCGATCGGAGAGGTAAGTGATTTCAAGGCAATGGCGGCTGATACATCCGTTTTTACATTTGGAGACGATGAAGACTATGAAAGTGATTGAGAGGGCGTATGACCGGTTAATTGTACATAAAACGGAAGTTGAACAAGTTTAAGCTGTTATTTTAAAACATCATTTGATTGATTCAGCAATTTGGGATGGTAAGTTTGATGAAGATGGGTTTGGCTGTAAGTTGCTCTGTATTTTCTTGTAAGATGTTTGAAAACTGTGGAATAATTGTTGATGCTGGTAATTTCTTATGAAATTTCAAATTTGCTGCTTTCCCATGTACTGGTTGATAAATTAGTTACAATATAAAATGACTTAAAAATAGTTTGATAAATAAATATATCATTTTAATTTGGAGTATTTTTATTTTATTTTTATGTTAATGGTCCAACAGCTTGACTTCAAATATCAAAAGTACCAAGAGGTCTCAGGTCTAAATTCAATGAGGAATAAAAATCTTCTTGTGGTCACGATGGTGGTTCAAATACGGTGATTCTGGACTATCTGCAAAACAGATGGTTGTCTTAAGATTAATTGGCTCGCATAACGGATAGGATATCAATATCAATGGATAGGGACCGTTTTTTTATGTTTCGGAACGAGGTTATTTCTACGTCTTTGACTTTGATACTCGTTTCTATTCTAAACAGTCAGCGGCTTAGCGAGTCGTCGACGCCGAGCGTGTGGCTAGGAACCGCTTAGGGTTTATCGAATACGCACACGATTTTGAATCGCCAAGTTTTTCCAGGAATTATCTGACAAACGCGCTCAATTTATTCCTAAAGGTAACAATCTACACACAGATTCGGTTGCTATAAAGAGAATTTGTTATGATCATTGTTTCCAATGTCATTTCCCATGAATAATCAACCTTCGATTCCACCAGCAACTTACCATCATCATCATCCGATGGCGAATCATGGCATCCATGGAAATCTTCTTGAAGTCACTGGTACCTACATTTAGTTTTCTCCTTCTTCCTTTTAATCGATCGATTTGTGCATATTGTCGGAAAAAGTTAACCATCACAATTTATGCGGAATATTCTTGCTGTCTAAATTTGATCGATAAGCATCTCTCTTTGTGAATTATACGAATATTTCTTGTTTGCCTTGTGTAATTTTGATTATTTATGGATTTTCAGTGGTTTGCTGCAATAAGCTCAAAGATACGGAATGGCTTTCAAGGCAAGATCCATATGTTTGTGTTGAATATGGAAGTAACAGATATCGCACCCGTGTTTGTACAGGTCGTCTCTCTAACCCTCTTTAAAGTGTACATGTATGTGTTGATTGATTGGTGCTCAAAGATGTGAGAATTGATTCAACTTCTAATTTGAATTTTTGGGATTGGTATAATAGATGGAGGCAAGAACCCTACATTCCAAGAGAAGTTCGTATTTAGTCTGATTGAAGGATTAAGAGAGTTAAATGTTGTTGTTTGGAATAGCAATACCATCTCACATGATGACTTTATCGGCAGCGGAAAGTAATTTTCCCATTTCTATTTCATATTCTGGGGTTTATCCTGATGATGCTGATCAATTTATTGATGTTTTGGCTCATTTAAACTCATTTCTTTGCATGATATTTCTTGTGGTGTCTAGGGTCCAATTAGCTACGGTTCTTTCTCATGGATACGATGATACCGCTTGGCCATTGCAGACTAAAACTGGCAGGTTTGTCTTTTACTGGAACTTTAGATGGTACATTGGTTCAAAACTTCAATATCTCACACCGCAAAAATCGTTTGCTCGAATGAATACACAGGATAATGTTTTGGGTTTTTAGTTTTTTTCTCAAAATTTTCAACTTTGAGGTTCATTCATACAATAAACTACCTGCTACATTCACTCTACACAATTGAACCAAGTTACTTCCAGTTTAAAACAAAAGATGAAAACTTATATGTTTGTAGTAGGACTTGCAAATTTCTTACTATGTTTTTTTCTCTGTTATGCCGCCACTAAATAGAAGAACTTTCAAGTATAACAAGGCTTGTCAAAGAGATTTGTTCACTCTGGCCATTGTGATATTAAAAAATGATCTTAGAAGCAGAAAAAACGTATTTCAATTATTCCAAGTTACCCAAGTCCTCATTGAGATTTTGAATAATGGTTTGTTTTAGGAAACAAGAAACAAGGACGAACAAATTCATCTAACTCTGTTTTATTTTCCCAATAAGTTTAGAAGTTTATTCAATAATGGTTTTAGTAAATTTGCTGCAAAAAGATGCATACAATGAAAAGTTGTAGTTATTTTGTGGTAAAGGAGTGCATTACTTTTGAAATCAAGACAGTGGAGGTCCCTAGTGACCTTCAATTCAAATAACTTATGGTGGGGATGGTGGTTTTATGTTGATGCACAATGGAGATATATAATTTCAATTGTAGTTGCAGGGCTAGAAAATCTTTCTATGTGTTGTTCTGTTCCTGACTCTCAGATTGCTTGGCTTTTGCAATGATATAGATTGCATTTCAGTTTGTTTTTGTTCCATTGTGAGATATGTAGGTTTATACATGTGGAATATAGTTTTATTATGTTCATCGTGTCTTGTCATGGAAAAGGTTTGTGGACGAAAGTAAGCATAGAAGAGTTGTATTAAGATTGAGGAAGTATGCAGCCTTCTAACAGAGAACATGATCTTATTATACAGGCACGCTGGCGAGCTACGGTTGATAATGCACTATTCCAGTGCCAATGTAAGTACGATTCATGTTTCATATTCCTCTGTCAAGAAGTTCAGCTCCTATTTATTTAGGTAGTTTAACATTTTCTTTTGATGGGTCTCATTAAAATGATTTGAGAAGAAATGAAAATGCGATCCTGGGTACAAAATGAAAATGGGACCCACATATTGGAGAATGGAAGAAAATAGTATAAAACAAAAGAAACCTTTTAGTGTGTCAATCATATGGAGAATTTGTGTTTGCACTGGCTGAACAAAATCATTTTTCATTTGCATACAGAAACCCGCAAACAGTTATGCTCCATCAGCTCCACCATATGTTGCTTCAAGTTCACCCCAGGTCTCGATGTATTCTGCACCGCTGCCACCTTCATCCACGTCTTATCCACCACAGGCTTCAGGCGCTCCATATCCACCAGCCGGAGCTTATCCTGCACCTTCTCCTTATCCCTCATACCCACCTAATACAGGAGCTTATGCACCATCCTCATACCCACCTCAGACAGCTCCTTATCCTTCCCAGCCATACCCACCTGATTCAGCTTATCCTCCCCAGCCATACCCTCCTAACTCAGCTTATCCTCCTCAGCCATATGGCTCCCATTATCCTGCTGGTAACTTCTCATCCTGATTCGTCATTTTTATTTCAACAGTTTCTAAGAGCATCTCCGACAGATTCTCTATTTCTTCAAAATGGAGAAGCAAAAGTTAAAATCTTTAAAAAAAAAGTTACATTCAACTCTAAGCCCAACAATTTCTCCAGTTTGGAGATTTTAACATGTTTGTACTATTAAAATATTCAGTAGATTTTGGAGTTCTTCAACTCATTTTTTTCTCCAACAAATTCTCCAAAATGGAGAAAATAGGAGACAGAATATTTGGATAACTCTCCAAAATTAAATGCCAAAAAGAGAAATATTATTTTATTGTTCTCACCAATGAAGTTAAATGTATTATCAATTTCTATAAAACTTTTTTAGGATATTGAATCTGTTGATATTTTAATAATGTAACTTGTGTTGAAATCCCTAAAATGGATAAACTGTTGGAGATGAGCGTAACTTTTTGGAGATTTTAACTTCTGCTTCTCCATTTTTTAGAAGTTATAGAGAATGTGTTGGAAAAATTATATATACGTGAAATGATAATAAATTCAACTTCGTTGTTAGGAACAATAAAAAATCATTTATCTTTTAATTTTGGAGAGTTTTCCAATTTGTATACTTTTATCTTCTTTCTCCAACTTTTTCCGTTTTAGAGCACATTTTGGAGGATCTATTGGAGCCAAAGAAAAAGGTTAAAATCTCCATTTTGGAGAATCCGTTCCCGCTCTCTACTAATTCTTGATGTTGCTTTTGTTTTCAGGTTCTTCACACCAAGGAGGGTATCCTCCACCTTATTGAGGTACAGTTCCTGCCTATAAAACGAAAATGCAGCAAAGCAATGTATATTTACTTGGCTGTGTTGATGATGAAAAGGAAAATTTGGTTATAATCATATAATGGTGTTGAGGATTAATATAATACCAGTCGCCAACTGATCTGATCCCCTGTAGTTTCTTTTCGGATATCTTAATTTAGTTTATTAGAGGGGGTTAACTTACTTGTCGTTTGTGCATATAATCACTCGACATTTATGTCAAATAGTAGTGAGCAGTGGCAGTGTGTCAAATAGTCGTCGTTTGATGGACGGGTACTGCACAAAGTTTGGTCAGTAACCGTCCAAATGATGATTCAAGACATGTACTTTAGGTGTGAGATCATCTAAAATACATGTCTTGGAAACATCATTTGCATGTTTGTTGGGAAAGTTTTGTACGTTAATGCTATTTTTCTCTTTATTTCAGTGATGTATGTATGTATGTAATGGTGGTTAAAGTTTTCCTTGTGGGTTCTTTTTGTATCCCTGCTTGTAGCAGGCAGAGATGCATGCAGATGGGTTCTTGTTTATCTGTGAATAATTACAATATTATAGTTTTCTTTTTTGCAGAATATAAGTTTACAACTGTAATAAAATAATGAAATGATTAAAATACCCTTTTATGTTATTTTCATTTTTTTGTTTGAATTATAAATAAATATATAAATTTAATAATATTAATTGGTGGCGGTGGTGGTGGTGGTCATGGTGGCGGCAGTGATAATGATTTAAGATGGGCGAGGGTGTTTGGAATTGCTTATTTGAAACAACTTATGATTTTCTACAAAAACACTTGTCAATTTATTTTAAGTCCGAAGGGTTTAACTTCTTCAAAAACTTCTTATTACCAGTTTGGTACCGATATAAGTTGTTTATCTAAACACTTAAAAGTGCTTATTGTCGGTGCCACATCGGAATAAATCAATGAATTGTTTTTATAAGCAATTCCAAACACCCCTGAACGTGAGGCAATGTTGGTTAAATTGGATTTAAATGTAATTTCTGTTTTAATAAAATCAAAATCAAGAATAAGAACATCGAGTGGATCAGGACAAATGGAAAGGGCAGAATTGTCTTTTTTTTGGAAGATAGAATGGAATGGATTTCAAACTCCTTGCTAAATGTCAAGATTTGAACTCGACATTTGTGGAATTTGAATTTCACAGCCCAACTAAATGGAATTTAGTCAATAGAATTGACATTCCAATTTTTTCAAATCCCGTTGGCTCCGATGAATCAAATACTCCCCTAATGCTTTTTATTTTTCATCAGTTATGATGGTTTCATATTGATTAATTTCGTCATTTTAAGATCCATGCATGCAAAATTCGTTAAGACCCCTTCAAATTTAAGCAGTTTCACAAACTAACAAGATATATTTAGATCACAAGGCTTTAGCTTGCTAGCAATCCCTTGGAGTCGATAAAAATGTAGGGATGTGCAGAAAGTCATCTGATCAAATTAGAACCGACCGACCATAATCGGATATCCAATTGTAATCAGATCGAATTGGATATCCAATTGTAATCGGATCGGTTCTTGGATAACAGTCCAACATGCAATAAAACCAAACCGATCTAATCCAATTTCCCATCCAATTAATATTTAATTAATAATTGTATATAATTATTAGCATTTTACAATATTTTTTAGTTGATATTTATGTACATTGTTTTTTAATAATTTAAGAAAATATATGAATAATTGGTTGAAATAGTGGATTAATTGGTTAAATATTGGATCAAAAGATTAGATAATCCAATCTAATCCAATGAAGATAACCAATAATAACATCCAGTGGATGAAACCGATCTGATCTAATCATTCATTGGATTTGGATTAGATCAGATGCCTAATGTTGTTAATTGAATCTGATCTAATCATCTATTTGGATTTAGATCGGATTGTATCCACCTAAATCCATTGGATTTCAACCAATGAACACCTCTAAAGTACCAGTATTCACATTTCTATTTTAGTTTATTTCAAAATAATTGTCCATTTTCAAAAATAATTTTCCATCTTCCCATTTTATCAGATATAATTTTCCATTTTCCAATTTTACCATCAATTATGAGACAAGAAAATTCCTCTCTATTATTTAATTCCTAAAACCATCATTTTTCATTGTAGACATTCATTCTGGGACGGGTGACAAAATTAGTTGTATCTAAGGATCAATGTTTGGATGTCATATTGCATGTTATCCTACAATACAATTATATGGATCCATAATCCATAAAAATAGCATGAAGTAGCCACACCCAGTTCAATCAATCAATCAATCAAGTCTAGTTGAAAGCATGAAGATTGATTAGTACATTAACATAGTGAAATAAGTAGCAGTAGAGTCGGGGATTTTTAAGCCAACAAAATGGTAATTGGTCGGTCATCCTCCTCGCATATGAGCACCTAATTCACCAAATTGGTCATCAGCTTCTACGGTGTCCTCAGACAGCCGAACTGCATCCAGCTTCTGTTTCAGTACTTCAATTGCATTAAGCACCAACTGAGAGGCTTTCACTGCACCCGTGGACTCGACCGTGAAGATGAAACTGTCTTCTTTTGCGTAGATTTCCACAAGTCCTGGTTTCCCCATCGCTTCCACTTTCTTCAGCACTTCATCATCGTATGTGTATGCCTCACGATCTACCACCTCCACCTGATCACAACACACACAACGGTATCTATCACCAATTACTCTTCTAGAAACTTACAAATGATGCCCCTTCAAAACCATAAAAACCCTCGGGGCCCATTTGGTTTGACGCAATGTTTTTGAGGGATTCGGATTTCGTGGAAGAATTTGGAATATTTGGTGTGTTCAGTTTGTAGGATTTGGAATGGAATTGAATTCCATTTTTTATAAACAAGTTATAAAAACAAACTACAAAAAATCATAAAAATAATTAAATTACTTTTTTATTAATTGATTATTACAAAACAAGTATTTTTAACATATTTTAAAACATTATTACAAACAAATCCTGTGAAATCCCGCATATACTAACTACCCCATGGGATTTTTAAATCCCATGTTTGTGAAATTTCATTGAAATCCCAGGATTTCAATTCCGGACTTTCCTT